AGTTTTTGTAGGACAGTCTGAAGATGCTCTGTAGCACGTTTGGTGTCAATTGAGCAAAAATTGTGGGAGGAGATAGGTTTAAGAAGTTTTACAGTTTTTGAAAAAAACAGAGTGATGAACTTCATAATTTTTAATAGGTTTAAATGTACAAAATTTTCTTCAGTATTGGGGCTACAGTTTGATGAAAGTTGTGAAGTTGTAGCACATATGGTTGATTTGTTATGAATTTTCAAATTTTTTAACTTTAGACGCTTGCTGTAGCGCCACCATCAGGACTATTGGCTTGAGTTTACAGCTGAGGATATCTGGCATGAGACTGGACCTTTGTGCAAAGTTTGGTGAGTTTTCACCCATGGAAGAAGAAGAAGAAGAAGAAGAAGAAGAAGAAGAAGAAGAAGAAGAAGAAGAACTAGGATTACAATAGTGTCCTGGCAGCTTAGCTGCCCAGACCCTAAATAGGTTGATAACACTGATAATCGTGGAAATAGGACCAAATCCTTAATAGCTTAACCTTTCCGTTGGCCACCAGAAGTGTGGATGATGGTGAATTTCTCAGATGGAGCACTGTTCATTATGCTAACTTATGTTCCGTGCATCCTTTCTCCTCCTATGACCCAGAAATTGTTCCCTCTCTGGATCTTCTCATTCCTTTAAATGCACCCCTAGGCCATGAGAGAGAAGAGGCTTCTGCAGGAGCCAAGAGCAAGAAAAACACAGGTGTGTCCTATACGAAGGTCTTTCATCAAGTGGAGTGATGTATAAATGCTGCACCACCACATGTGGTGCAGTAACTGACATTGCTTAAAACTGATACTATAGAACCAAGAATTTCTAGTTCAGCAGTTTCGCTTCATCTGTCCTGGCATCACTTCCTCGCTCTATCTCTTTGACATCCTCACTGGGTGGAGCTATGCTGTGAGGAAACCAAGCAAGTGAGGGAAGTGAGGAAACATATTAGCATTATGGAAAGCAACCTGTAGTTCCTGTACTGCTAACAGTAACAGGATCAGCACTCTGGACAGCTGCTGCTTTAAGTGGCTGTTTTACAACTCAAATATCAGATTAAAACACTTGCAGCCTCTGGCCCAAACCCAGCTCATATGGTCCTATTAAGTAACTGTAATACGATTAATGTATTGTCTGGAGGAGTGTGAACTAGATGTGTAGTTCTCAGATTGAATAAGACTTCACCTTTAACTTGAAATTCACAAAATTTTGCAGCTGAAAAAATAACAAAATAATCCTAATTTGGGTCAGTGTTTTCGTGGGAGATTTGTGCAAAACTGTGTTAAACATTTATGAATATTATTCACTGACCTTTCCTGTCGACTTGATGCCCTTCCAGACGCAAAAGTAGCAGATGACCCAGGTCAGGATGAGACACAAGACCAGTTCCCATCTCAAGCTGCCCACCTCCTCAATACCACCTGAGATTTTCAAAACACGGTGCCTGGACAGAGGAGGGGAGCGATGGTGGGGGTGAGAGGGAGAGCAAAAATTAACAGTGACAGGTGAAAGGTGAGGTGAAAGAACTCAGCGTCAGGATGAGATGGTGGATGAGTGACAGAAAGGAACAGGAGATAATCAGAGGCAGGCTAAAAAAAAAGGAGGAGGGCTGAGAGGAGAGAAAGGGGAGGGAGAAAGAAAGAAAAAATAGCCTTCAGTTAAACTTGTGAGTTGACTACATGCTTACTGCCAGAACTCCGCAACAGGAAGAGTGGTATTCTCTCTGAATGTCATGCTGTGGCTCAGATTTGGATGGCTGAAGTCCACACATGCATCTAGTTGAAGAAAATAAAACACCAGGAATGTAAAAATGCTCATCTTCAAATTACAACATGAATTTAAAACATGCTTTGTTGGATCACGCATTGATTACATTTTTTATGTTACACATAAAATCCCCAGCTTGTTTTCCCCCAACAATATTGCACTGCATTACCATACTCTATATCTCACCTAACAAGAGTCTTCATACCAGTTGTTCATTGTATAGACAATATTCAACACCCACTCCACTACTGCACTCTACGTTATCTCTTCTTTTAGCTGACCTGATGCACTCTTTCTTTTTAATCTTTAATTTTTCCTCTTTGATCTTTTATCTGCTCGGTTTAAATTGCTGCTGTGTATGAACTGTGCTGCATGATTAAACTAAAGTCTGGAGGAGAGCCTACCTGTGTTCCACTCATTTCCACATGTGGCCCAAGGCAAGTCCGCGCTGAAGGACGAGAAGAGGTAAAAGAATGCCCATGCCATGATGACGATATAGGAGGTGGCACTGAATGAGATGATTAAGTGGCTGGCATAGCCCATGCCTAAAAAAAGGAAAAACACCAGTGATAATATTCTGTCCATTCATTCAACACTGTTTATTGCGTAGAAGGTGTAGATTAGATCATTTAGAACATAAACATCATGCTGCGATTAAATCATAGCTCCAAAGCACTCAGATGACAAACGGTGATGTGGTTAAAAGGATAGACTTCGTGCGTAATTACGCGCGCCGTTTACATCCGAAGTGTCCTGTGCAAAGGGACTAATATAGAAAGTGATGATTTTCATTAACCTTGGAAAAGCGGGCAAATCTTTCTCCAGCACGTGATCCCCCCCTGGTTGGTGTACTGTCCTAAGGCAGTCTCCAGGAAGAATAAGGGTATTCCGCATGTAAGCATGAACAAGATGTATGGTATGAAGAACACACCTGCAAAAAGCAGAGGGTCTTTACTTCGCAATGAGAAAAAAATATGTTATACTAGAAAACTAATTGTATAAAATGATATTAATAATTGTCACAGATGTGCTATTTCAAACTGGGAGCAAGAGTTTCTGCGTAAAATCACTCACCTCCGCCGTTTCTGTAACACAGATAGGGAAACCTCCAAACGTTGCCAGGTCCGATAATTGCGCCCATCACAGTCAGGATGTACTCGGCTTTGTGCCCCCAGTATCCCCGTCCCTCCAAGTCTTTCTTCTGTGGGTGTCCGTTTGGCACAAACTGCGTGCAGGTGCCATTCTTGGCCATCTTTCCCACCTAAATTCACCTCAAACCACTCTGCAGTGATAAGTTTGTCCTGTGCCCAGATAAGATCTTGAGCCTTCTGGTGAAAACCCCACACACTGTATGTTGGCAGTGTGGAGTGTGAAGTTGCAGACGTGTTACAGATTGTTGTAAGTTAAGTGTCAGAAGTGAGAGCGGCTGTGTTGGTGCTGACTGAGACACAAACTATTTACGTTGAAGATGCGTAGATGTGCATTGGCGGCTGGGGGAGGGAGTCACTGAGTAAATGAAGCTTGGAAAAAGTGTAGGAGGGCGGTATAGATCGTGATCAGCAAATCAGAGCAGACGAGGTTACTTCTGATGTGTTTCAGTTGAGCATAAAAAAAATCATAAGAATCACTTTGCAGAATGAAATCAAATAAACTTGAGGCTGGCAGGTATCCATGACTCTTGCATCAGTAAGTAGTCTATCGTCCCAATATTCTGTAGACGTATGTAGTATTTCAGTAATGTCTTGTTTGTCTCGGGTTTCTTTTCTTTATATGAGTTCAGCCACTGAGCGGGTCAGGTGGTCACTCACAGTTCTGGGTGCGACCATTGGGTGGCACTACCTCTCACTTAATTCGTCCTGTATCGTACACACAGGGCCCTGCAACACACGGAGCTGTACATGAAGCACGTATTCACAATTGTTTTTTCCACATTAACCTTTTGAACAAATGACATATGCTCATTTTAATAAAACTTTTTTTTGTAATCATGTTGCAAATATTACAAAACATTACAACTCCACAGAACTATCTGAAATTGTGTATTTTGGGGGTAAATTCCGACAGTTTTTCATTAAATCTGTAGGCTGCAGAAGTTATATAAACTTGGGAGAGTGGGGCTTGTTGGGGCATTTTTGTACTGACATAACCTTCCATTACTCACAGACTACTAAAACAGTAATGCAAATAATTTGACCCCTTAGCAGATACAGGTGTCGGCTAACAATTTATCAAGTTTTTCAGAGCCTAACCCAAAGGTGAATGGCAAATAAAATGTACAAGGAGTGTCTTTTTCCCAAATCCTGCCTCCACAGGACAGTGATAGTGGGTAGGGCCAATAGGGGCATCTTGTTCTAGGCTTAAAAAAACATTATTCTAAAAATTGTAGCCTACTTGTTGCTTGTTCAGACATTTTGTTGAGAAAATAAAATATTTGTAAAATTACTGTTTTCATAAATTGTGAATTTTGGCTGTCTTCTGAGACCTCATTTCAGTGACACCTATCAGCTCAATGTGATTACCAGAGGCCTAATGTAGCCTATAGATTTATGTAGGCTTTTGAGTTTGTTGCATTTTCCGATAAAAAGTAAATAACAACAACTTAAAAAAGTTAAATAGTTGAACTCTGCAGATTCAAAATATAACCAGGGGTTCAAATGTAGGCCTATATGAAGTTCATGCAGTAAACATCCATTCAGTGACCTCACAGTGGGTCTTTTTTGGTTAGGAAAAGTGTTTGTCTTATTTTTGTCTACTTTTCCTTTATTTATGACAAGGTAGGAATGATAAATAATACTGTTGGAACCAACCCTAACAGTCCCAGGGAGAGCGGACATACTTTAGACTCCTGTTCAAGCTACCAACAAAAATTCAGACAGCCCACACTACCACAAACTGATAGGCCAGAAAATCAGCTTTCCAATGATATGTTTTGTGTACGTGGCGTAACTAAAACAATATGGTAGTTTGTTAGGGACCAAGCAGTGAGGCAACAAGGATGCAGGAGTTGTTGACAAAACTGTGGGGTTTTTATTTACCCAAAAAAAATTCATATAAATTAGAAACCAAGAAATGAACAACTAGGCCTATAAAAGAAGTCAACATATCATAACTATGCACAACATAATAACTACACAAGGTGTTAACTGAACAAACTGACTTGTCAAAATGACACGAGGGGGCATACATAGTGGCTATCCAGCTAAATACAAAGCAAAAGTAACTCCCCCCCCGTGACATGGCAGCACATGGTTTGGTCCAATGAGTTGCTCCAGGATTTAAGAGTCCTCAGCCCTCAGCCACACCTTTTGCTCCACCAGGAAGGAGGAAGGGCCCTCCCCAAACAACCACGGTAACTCATAGACAAAGAAACAGACAATTAATATCAAACAATTTGCCTGTGTAACCCTACAGTGCTAGACTGAGTACTCTTAAATTAAACAATATAAGGTTAAAAGCGAATAAACAGATTCTAAATCAAACCAACCATGTGATGTGAATTGCTCAGGTATGGTTGACCATAAATGAAAGAAACCTGCGTAGATGACAAACTAATGAGTTTAAAGAGTGTGTTAACATATTTGCTTTAATTTATTTTCTAAAGTGTATTATTGGCAAAGCATTTTGTGCAGGGTTTAGAGTGTGAGACTAATAATTCAAACTGTAAATGCGACAAATGGTCTGCACCAGTTGTCACATACACACTAGCTCATGCAACATACATTATACAATGTCATAAAACTACATTAGTGGTAGATCCGCCTCCACTTAGAGGTGAGACTCCTGCTGATGCAGAGAGGAGTCAAACATTATTAATGGTGGGCGTTAACTTATTGCCAGTATATGGAGAAAAAAAAAACACTAGTTGTTGTTGAGTGGACCACTCAAGTTGGACAAATAGCAGCATTTCAGAAACAGTCATTTTAGTTTTTTGAATAGGACTGTGAACATTATGTTGCAAGGCAAAAACGGGAATCATTCTTTAATGGGCCCCAGTAATGGAACCAATAGGATCCACTCTGTACACTTCAGTTCATTGTTTATTGATGAATCCACACTGAGACAGATAGATATACTGTGTATAGATAGGTTTTTATTTTTGGATATACAGTACCGTGCAAATGTTAAGAATCACCTGCCACAAAATCTTGATTGGTAGTCAGATGGCTGAGAGGACTGCTTTTGGATTCCGCAAAATCCTCTTTGCAAGTATATGGTTATTTGGGTTTTTGCAAAGAAAAAAAAGTTAAACCAGACTGACAAACAATTGATAGGACAGAAACAGAAAAAGATACGACTGAGCAACAGTTCACTAAGAATAGATGAAATCCCCGGCCCTTGGTAAAAGAAACTGAAAGCTTAGCAGCAAAATGTTTGCAGATTAAAACATGAACAGGTTTCTGTTTTAGGGTCAAGTGCACAATAATGCCTATTGGTATAAAATCTGATCCATGTAATTTTCTGTCACAGAGAGCCACTGGAGAGGAGTTAAAGGGCCGCAGCTCTGGAGCAGGTTGCCCTGGTCTGAGGTTATCACTATGATTGACCCTTTGCTAAGTCCCGCCCCTGGATGCAGACTGGCCAATCATAACATAGCATCAGGCCAGCTCAGACCAGGGTCCGACAACAACACAGCTGTGCTCCATTGACTCTAATGCAGTCGTTTAAGATTTCCTTCATTTTCAGGCTGGTTTTGTGGATTTGGAGCTAAATGTTGTGCCTGGGGCACGTCGTGTATTAATGATAGTCGTTACCTGCAGAGGTTGGAAAAAGATATACGTTTCTTCCCTGTTCCAAAACCAAAATCAAACCCTGAAAAGTGTAGGGTTAGCTAGCTAGCTACTGAAGATATAGCCTACTGAATGTATACACATGCTGCTTTTGCTTTTAATGATTATAACAGTGAAACAAAGACCGACCCTGCTGTACAGGAACCAGTGAAGGGAAGCAGGGAAACTTTGCTGATATTCAACCAGCTGTGTGTCATCGCACTGTGTGCAGATGAACGTTGTTTGACCTCCCCTGTAGATCCCTGCCCGTGTGGCGGCAGAGGTCCGGGTGCTGGCAGCAGCACGGGGGCGAAGCCAAACACCGTTCATCTGCACACACTGCGATGCCACACAGCTGGTTCAATATCAGCAAAGTTTCTCTTTATATTCATTGTCTTGTGTGGCGATCAGCAGTGATGTGGTGGTTCACTTTTACACTGTGATCTGTAGCCTATAGTTCGGCTTTAGCTTCTAACTATCTTTGTCTTTTTAACCTGTTGTTGCTGCTGAGTCAGTTTGACATCCTGGATATATCCTTCAAACACAGACTGTAGACCCCTCTGTCTGCTTCTCTCTGGAATCACTATTTCATTGTTCCAAAAATATGATTTCATCAGGGAGTGCAGTTAGTTACAGTGTGGGCTCCATGCTGATGTGGGATTTATACTTCTGCATCAAACTGACGCCGTACCTATGGCATAGGCTCTACGTCATCACAGAGCCTACGCCATACCGTAGCCTGACATGCACCTCCACAGAAACGTAATTACGTGTCCCAGCAACGCAGACCTCCTGTCTATTTTTGTAAGCTGAAACCATTTCCCTCAGTGGAAACAAAGCTTTTATTTCCTTTTATTTCACAGATAAGAAACAATAAATTGTGAAGACAAAAAAGCCTCCACAAAACTAGCATTTTATGTCTTGTCTGTGATTTATCCTGGCCTCATATGAGTAGAGGAAATCTCCACATGTGGCTACGCTAATTTATACAATGTGACATGCCATAGTCTTGTGCTAATAACATTAGCATGTTATATTTGTTTGAAAAACGTTTAGTATAAGACAGTTGTTTTGTCAGTGAACCTTGTGAGCTGTAATGGAGCCAAATTTTGTAACGTTACCTTTGTTAAATGTTGCAGTTGTCCCTGGCTTCATATGAGTAGAGGAAAAGTCCACTAGCTGCTAGGCTAATTTATACAATGTAAAATGCCATAGTCTTGTGCTAAAAACAGCATGTTGTATTTGTGGGGGAAATGTGTCCAGATAAAGACAAGTGTTTTGTCTGTGAATGCTGCGAGTTATAGTGAAGCTGATTTGTGTACTTGTGTTTGAAATTGTCTCTATTAAGCCATGTTTAATGTGTGTTTTGAATAAACTAAATTTTAAAGCATTTCACAGCAACCTCTGCCGCCGACTAGTGTTTTGGAGGTGTAACTGCAGAGTGACAGACACACCAGCACAAGTATAAATGCTCACAACAGTGTAGGCCACGTGCGTAGGCTAAGGCATAGTCTCTGCTGCACAAGTATAAATCCCCCTTTACTCTGACAGCTTGTGGGATCATCACAAAGGGGCGGGGCTTAGCAAAAGGTCAATTGGAATTGGATGAGGCATAGGTGTAGATGCAAGAGACATTTCACCCTCAGGGTTTAGAACATGTGCGAGACCTCACCCCCACCCTAAATCAAACCATGAAGTAGCAGAAGACCTTTACACAACAAATTTACACCATAAATTGATGCAGAAAAAGCACAAATTAGTGCAGAACAATTCACCAGAATGCAGGAAATTATGTGTCTGATGCTCAGATTTTTCTGGCAGAGGACCCCCAAACCCCTTATTTCATGTGTGTGTGTCCCAAATGTTGAAAGAAAACCTAAGCCCTTGCAGTCAGGCAGTATAGTTTATATGTGGCAATGGTGTTCTGGGTATTAAAAAAACTATTTGAGGAAAGAAGAAATTATCAATACAACAGGTGATAACAAACTTTTGAACAGTACTGTGCACCTTTGTGAAACATAATGCGAATTATGAATTGCAAAACTTAAACTACATCAGGAATTACTATTAATTAAAGTGAAACAAACCAAACAAAACAAATCATTGCACGATACAGGGAGATTCCCCAAAGAATATTGCAATTAATCGTTTCTCCTTTAACATGTGCAGAAAGCTTATAAGAACTGTTGCAGGTATGTTATGGACAGAGATGGATCCTCTCCTGTGATGACGGTCTGTGCAGCACAGGCAGTCCAGCACACACTGTGCTGTGCGCTGGTGGTACTGCGGCGGCACTGGAGCCGGCTGAGCTGGAAACCAGTGAGCTCATTCTGGCTGCATGGGGAGGAGGGCGGGGCTCCCAGCATCATCACCACCGGCCATCACTGCTTCATTGTACGGGCTGCTGCTGCTGATGCTGACAACCATAGCGGACGGGGCGATTTTCTTTTCTCCAATAAATGCAGCGTGTCATGGAAACGGTTTCACGCAGATTAGGACTCCACACATGATGAGGATCGATTACGAGGTAAGGTAAGGAAAGCTGTTTGTGATTATTACCGTTGTTGGGTTTAACATCGTCTGAACTGGGAGTTACTGGGACTAGCGGGCCTGTTGGTTTGAGTCAGGTTGATCATCTCAGCAGCGGTGATTATTATTGGACTCGGTATAATATCACTGAACCAAAAAAAGGTAAAACTGCAGCATTAAATTCCCCAATCGTGCAAAATAAGATCAAACGGTATATGTGTCTTATTTGAGCGAGTAGCCTCGGCTCAGCCTACATGTCGGAAGTGGCAGAGCTCGGCCTACACTAGCAGGCACTTGGAAGATGACGAGGAGCTTGTGGGGGGTTTCATCGCCATGCAGGGCCATCTTACACACGACGGATGCTCACGCTGCATCGAGCATCATCTGTGTCTGTGTGTATTTCTGCGGCTGGTGTGCTTTCAGTGGCCGTACTTGTTGTGCAAGAAGCTCCCAGCTGTTCGTGTTTGAGCCTTCAGGTACAGCCAGATGCGCATTGGTCTTGTATACATAATTACGCACGCGTGGTTTGCAGAATGTGCATTTTTTTCTGCTTGACAGGTCATCACACATTACTGGCCATGTCTTAGAAGGATGCTGCAGTGATGTTCCAAGAGGATGCTTGTCCACAGTGGGGCTGGCAGGGGCCTCCAGACTGAGGCAGTGGGTCTGCAGCCTGCAGCTGCCTCAGGGTGTTACACTGGCCTGATTTTAATACTCACCACCCCTGCTGGGAGGGCATTTGTCACAGTATTGTTTTAGGGTCAGCACAGATGCAGGCTGGTGATTGGCCACACGTTAATAGTTTATGGATTGACTTGTGAAAAAGGGGCCGTTCAATAGCACACATCGATGAAGCAAAATAAAGCAAGAGGATAAAATATAATCGGAATAAAGTCACTTTTAAAGGGATCAGCCAGGCAGAGGTGTAGATTTTGAGGGGGATGTAGGGGACATGTCAACCTCAATATGTAGTCATACTGAGGGGGATGTGTCAGTGGTGTTTCTTGGCCTTGTGTTTGGAGCTGTCATATTAATGTTGCTCTATTTTATTGATTTGGAATATGACATTAATCTCAGTGAAGCTCAGAGCCAGGTGAACAGAGTGACAGTGTAAAACTAAATTACATGTTTACCAGCCATCAGATCCTTGTCGTATTGCCAGATATTGTCATATACATTCATAGATATATTCCTGCCCATGTGTTACTGCTAGTCTACCATGAGTAGACCATCTCATTCATAAAATTTGATGTTGCATGATTTACATTTATGCACCTTCCTGCATTTTTACCCCCAAGTGCTCTGCTGATACACTGGGTTGGTAGTTTGACCTCATGCAGATGGATTGGTAGTCTTTTTTTGCCTATGAAGCAGTCAAACATAATCCAAAAAAAATGAGCAAGAGAATGGTGCTCTACTCCAACCAGTGTGATGATACTTTGAACTCACGTATGTCACAACCAGACTCATTAAACGTGAGTTGCTCATTGACATAACTGGCGTCTGTCTGACTAACTTTAGCTAACTCAATGACACAATCACCAACAATCTCAACCAGAACATCCCAGTGGGTCCATTGGGTCACACTGATAAACAGTATGTGGCTACGACTGTCACAGTGAATTTTCTTTCTATATAATATTTGAGAACAATGATGCGCTTTAAAACTACTGTATAAAATGAAATTATGTGCAAACCATGTAGCAGATGTGATTTTAGACCATTTTGATGCACTCTCCTGCATTTCTGGACTGTATTAGTATTTTGACCTCAGGCAGATGGATTAGAAGTCATTTTTGGCTTGAACTAAGAAGAAGACAAACATAATCCAAAAACAAGCAGGAGAGTGCTTCATGATTCCAGCCGACGCGATGACACTTTGAACCAGCTTACGTCACAACCAGACCTCAGACTGATTAAACTCAAGTTGCTCACTGACATTTGGACGGCGTTGGCATCAGCCCGACTAACTTTTGCCGACTCGACTTGCATAACCTGGATTAGTAAAAAGAAAAATAGCCCAGAAATGTAAGATTTTGTTCACTGGAAAAAAATAACCGCAGCCAAAAGATAGATGAGGTGCCTGTTGGTCGAGCAGTTAAGAACAAATGCAAATAAAATCATCAAAGAGATTTGTCTGGTAGGGAAAGCTTGGATGCCTGCCACACGTGAGTAAGCAGCTGCAGACAGCGCCCAATCTGTATTAATATTAACATACTTTATATATATGTTTATAAAGTTCAAGTCAAAGGTTGTCTTAAAAAATGTTATGAGTGCATAATGTAGAGTCTTTTGCAAATACAGTAGGATTTGCTATCTTTACGCTTTTTTATAATAAATCAAATGCATTAATAATAACTAGATTACATATAAAGAGATGATTTGCCTTTGGGCTTTTTTTCCCCCAGCATTTGGCATTTGACCAGGTAGAATGCATCTCTTTACTAAAAATACTCTGCAGCCATATTTATTGACATCCAAATGGCTTTAAATGAATCATAGTCTTTGATAAAACATTATCTCATCATTGAGGGTTTTCCTTCTTGATCCTGTCAACAATCAAAATGGAAGATCCTTTTTTTACTTAAGGTTTACTGGTAGCTGTTTTTTGTCATCCTGCTGATCAATTCTGCTTCTCTACAGAGCTACTGATGTCTCGTCTTGCTAATACCCTCAACACAGTGCTACAGGGCTTTGTGAAACGCCAATATGATCCCCAAAAGCAACCAAAGTCTTATTCTAACCCCAACCCGAGGCAAAATATGGCTCGTGTAGTAGTTTGACTGGGTAGTGGATGACAGATGGCAGGTCCCGATATAGTAAGAAGTTGGCTCTGGGTTGAAAGATTTATTCTGTAAATGAAAAACAACAGAACACAGTAGCTTGTTGTTTATGAGCAGAAAGGAAGAATCCCAATTATGTCTAATCTCGGCTCTTACCTGCTTACAAATTGATATGAAGTGGTCATTTTCTAATATTAATAGCCTAATATTGATGCAGATAGCAGCTTTACAAAGCTCAGTAGCTGGCTCTTTCTCTTATGACATACATTGAATGGTAGTAAACGAGCCAGATTTGGCAAAACTGACACAACATTGCTAAATGCAGCATTGGCATGCAGTCCAAATTATCATAAATAAGAGGCTAAAGAAAAGAGATGGGTCTTCAGACAGGTTTTACAGATATCAACAGAGGGGAAGATTTAATTGTTAGTGGCAAACTATTCCACAGTTTAAGGCCAGCAACTGAAAATCACAATCATCTCTGAGTGTTTTTTTGTTAAAAGCTGTCTAGGTTTGTCCATAAAGCATCCTCTGCATGGCTTTTACCATTCGACCCCAGGGGGCCATCAGACTCAAGCTGACAGGCAGCAGCAATGCTTGCATTTCTATGAGTACCCCTGGTACACTCTGTCTGGAAATCCACCGCCAACACCCAAATCTGATGCCTGAAGAGTCAAAAGTGGGTCATGGTGCCAGTGTGCTTCATGTGAAAGAGAATTACCATCCCGACTCTACAGCTCTATTGTGCTTTTTGGCATATTTCAGCTCATTGTTTGATTTTAGCAAATTGCTTCACTGCTATAATCAACCACCTCTCCAGCAGCAGCATGTACTGTACCTGTTAATATGGTGATCAGCTCATCAGCCTCCCATAGAGAGCCTCTGTCCCAGTTTGCCGCAGCAGTTGTTTTCAGTTAAGAACGTGCAACCTGTCCAGCACCAAATGGCAGACAGACAAAATTAGGGACTAGCTGGTGAACATAGTGGAGCCTTTAGCTGTAAAGAGGCAGATATTTCCCCCAGGAGGTGGTTGAGACCAAAACAGAGCCAAAAGGTGTAGGGATAATTGGATTTGGACTATATCTGTTGGCTGTACAGCGTTAAATCAACTCAAAATAAAGGCTAATGTTGCTCAGAGTCTGATGGATGTGAGATGTACCGATACCACTTTTTCCTTCTCGATACTGATTCCGATCCCTGAACCTTAGGTATCTGCCGATACTGAGTACCGATCCGATACCTGCGCGTAAAATAAAAATGGATGGGATATGAATTGCTTTATGTCTCAACTCCTAAAACTCTATGTAAAATATTAAGAAATAAATACATACTAGTAGAATGAATGCCATAAAACTTTTTTTTAAGTATTTTTTTTTTTCTAAGATTTTTTTTGGGCATTATTAAGCCTTTAATTGATAGGACAGATGAGCGTGAAGGGGGGAGAGAGAGAGGGAGTGACATGCAGCAAAGGGCCAGAGGCTGGAGTCGAACCCGGGCTGCTGCGGTAACAGTTGTGTACATGGGGCGCCAGCTCTACCACTAAGCCACCGACGCCCCATTATTATTCAGTGTTGACACAGATGAAGACACAGGTTAAAGTGCAGCCACACAATTTAGTAAAAAAGACATTTTAAAGGCTACAGTAGAACACTTTTTGAAGGCTCCGTTTCTGTTTCGTTTGCCTGTAGCATGCATATGCGTAATGACATGAGGCATTATGTGGTATCGGATTGGTCATAGGCTGTACTCGTCGATACCCGATACCGCATTTTAGGCAGTATCGGCGGCATTTCCGATACTGGTATCGGTATTGGTACAACTCTAATGTGTAAGTGGGCAATGGTACGTATTTGCTCAATTTGATAATATATCAAGATGGTAACATGTCAGCATTGTGTTAAGAGCTTGTTCCCACTAAAGGAAAGCAATAATAATAAACTCTGCTTTCTTTTTCATTTTTTTAATTGATTGGACCCAGTGTTCAGCTACAGCTACAGCTACAGCAAAGTGGTTCTTGGACAGTTAACAACATATTTTGTTGGGCTGCTTTTTCAGAATAACTGGAAAGCAACATTGCTGTTGAGATTTTTTATCCTCTGTTAACTAGTCATATCAGGCAGTAAAAGGAAAGGAAGTGTTCACAAATACAACATTTTTGCTTCAGTGGTTGAAACATACCGTTTTGGCCTCTATGTTTACATTAGGAGGGATGATGAGAGT